CTACACGAAAATCCAGTAGACCAAAATGTGCTCTTTCCTATCTACAAAATTATCATTGTAGTCTGATGTCTCAATTGCCAGTTCCTCAACTAGATTCTGTGGTGAAGGATTCTGAATATAGTAAGCAATATCCTATTAAGGATTACTTGTGTTATGGTTTGTTATCTCTTGCTCAAAGGGGTTACACATTGGCTTTATCCACTGTTTATGAGCCACAATCCTTTACCGAGGCATCAAAGCATCCTGAGTGGGTTAAAGCTATGGATGTTGAATACCAGACACTGGTTTCCAACAATACTTGGCAAGTTACTGTGTTGCCTGATCATAAGACTCCAGTGGTTTGTAAATGGGTCTTTAAGGTAAAACTCAATTCTAATGGGACAGAGGAAATGAATAAGGCTCGTCTTGTAGCCAAAGGTTCCCCGTTGCCAAATTGGTTACTGTAAAAACACTCTTAGTTGTTGCATCTAAAAAACAATGGGATCTTTACCAATTGGATATCAATAATGCGTTCCTTCATGGTGAATTAGATGATGAGGTATATATGCTCATGCCTCCAGGTTATGAGGAGCAGGGGGAGCATGGTGAACAGCTGGTTTGAAAATTAAACAAATCCATTTATGGACCCAAACAAGCTTTGAGGAAATGGAACATGAAGCTAACTTCATACATCCTTTCAAAGGGTTTCAGACAATCAAAGTCTGATTACTCTTTATTTAGCAAACAAGATGGCTACTCATTCACCGTTTTTCTTATATATGTTGATGATATTATCATTGGGGAAAATAATTTGTCTTACATTGAGTAATTTAAAGCCGAACTAAACAAACAGTTCAGGTTGAAGGATTTGGGGATCTTGAAATATTTCTTGTGCCTTGAAGTGGCAAGAAATTTAATAGGGATATCCATCTGTCAAAGGAAATACGCTCTAGATGTTTTGACAGATGCAGGCTACCTTGGAGCAAAACCAGCGAGTAGTCCCTTACCACACAATTTGAAGTTGAGTAAAGATGAAGGTGAAGCTATTATGGATCCAAGCATCTACAGGAGACTAATGGGCAGGATTTTGTACTTAACAATAACTAGACCAGATCTGTCATAAGCTGTTCAAGTACTAAGTCAATTTTTCCAGTCACCAAAGCAGCCTCATTTGGAGGCAGCCCAGCATGTGTTACGATATCTGAAGAGTACACCAGGACAGGGTTTGTTCTTTCCAAGCAAGTCTGACTTACATCTCAAAGGCTATTGTGATGCGGATTGGGCAGCATGTTCGGATAGAAGAAGGTCAATCACTGGTTATTGCATATTTCTGGGAAACTAGTTAGTGTCATGGAAGTCCAAAAAGCAACATACAGTGTCAAGGTCTTCAGCTAAAGTAGAGTATAGGTCCATGGCAGCTGCAGTTTGTGAGTTTACCTGGTTGAAGAATATATTGAAGGATCTGAGCATTGTGCATACCAGACCGCTCTATTATTCTATGATAATCAGTCAGCTATACACATAGCCAATAATCCTGTGTTTCACTAAAGAACGAAGCATATAGAAATCGATTGTTATCTTGTAAGGGATAAGGTACATGTAGGAAAAGTGAAAATGCTGCATATGGCATCACAAAAGCAATTGGCAGACTTATTAACCAAACAGTTGGGAGGAACTAGATTTAAATCATTACTTGGCAAGATGGGAGTGTTGAATATACACTTGCATCTTGAAGGGGATTATTGAAATGTTTTAGCATAGGGTTATTTATGTCATTTTGCATCCTTCATTTTGTTAGATTAGTTATCAGTCTGTGTGTATAAATGTGTTGATTCTCTCATTTCCCAATCACGAATTTTAGTTCAATACAATTTCATTTTTCGTGCCACTTCTCTTCTCTCATTCTAGAGTATTCCCATTGCATTTTATCAACAAAGAACATTGTATTACGCCTCTCACCACCATCACCACCATGTGCATTCTACCGGCCTGCATACCACCATAATCAAATTTTTACGCCACCATATGGTCAATGTCCATACATACCTAATTTGACATTACAAAAATCACGAACGCTAGCAATAACCTTTTTAAATCGCCATCACCACCATTTACGTCATCAAATCTCACCACTATAAAAGAACCACTACAAAGGCCACCATTAATGCCAGCCCATTTCATCACTACCACCAACACAAAAAACAAATTTTAAATCAATCATCATAAAATAAACCATTAAAAACATTCAAATAAAATCTAGAAAAAATACCAAAGAAATCAAATTTCAAATTATAGCTTTGCCAATGACAACATCAACGTCGAGGTAGAATAGTTTCTGGATTTAGATTATGGTGATTGTGCAACAAGGATGAGATCAGTGATGGTGGACTCTGACTGTGGAGGGTAGCATTGAGGATTAGGAATTTATTACAGTGTGGAAGGAAGTGATGGTAATTTATGGTAGAGTCTCATCTAGATGAAAAACTGGAATCCGATCCTCCCCTTCATCCAGATATGTGATTATGTGTATGTGTATTTCTTTTGTACTTTTTCATAGCATTTTGTAAACTAGAAGTTGAAAAGTATAAAAGGAACTTGAAAATTAAGTGATGTAATTTTCATATGAACTATTACATGTACATTATTTTTTTAAAATGAAAATTTCAAAATTTGCATGCAAAAAAAAAAATAAAATAAGAATAAATAAATAAATAAGAATAAAAATAATAATAATAATAATAATAATAATAATAATAATCTAAGCTCCAATTCCAAAAGAAAAAAAAAAAAAAAAAAATAAAATAAGAATAAATAAATAAATAAGAATAAAAATAATAATAATAATAATAATAATAATAATAATAATAATAATAATAATAAATAAAATCTTATTGTTAAAAAGAATGAAATTTGAAGTTTTTTATTTTAGAATATGCAAAAGCAATGTTGTGGGTTGGTTGGTGAAGTCCACGAACTTTAGGTGCCGAACTCGATCTGCCCATGGACTCGTGGTAGAACAAGGTGAGTCGTCCATGGGCCAAGCTCTCACGAGCATATATAGCTCATTGCCACCCCTATGTGACACGTGTAATTTGATTTTTTAAAATTATTTA